GCATATCGATTTCGCTGGCTCCGCCTTAGGGAAAAAAAAACCCAGCGCGGGCTAACGTTTTTCGCCCATCCGCTCCGCAGAACCGCCCGTCGATAAGTATCATAATCGTTTCGCGCAACCGCCAGACTCTTCGCCCAACCGCCAATCGATACGGAAGCTTTTCGCCGAAGCGTTTCTTTCTAGAGAAACGCTGGGTCGCACACTGTGAACAATGCCTAAGGCAGATCAAGAAAACGCCACGCCCATAGTCGCGCGCGACGGACCGGCAAGTTACGACTGACTTAACCTTCTGTCGTGATAATCGAAAATAGAAGTAAAAACTCAATTAATCAGTAAGTTTTTCACAAGAAAAACAGCTTCACATACCGTGCAATCTCCTGATACAATACGTAACACCATCTCGTATAGAAACCGCCTTGAACACAGACTGGGTGGCATGGTGCTGATTTATTTGCTCCAACGGGACCAACTGATTGAAGTGTTCCACCTGAACATTATATCTTTCAATTCATAACTTCAAAACAGTGAGTAAAACGCTGGGCAGGACTTAAACTAGAGCAGACTAGGGAGCATATGGAACGAATTACTCACCTGCTGGGGCAGATCTGGATAAACAATTGGATCTGCTCGAGCTTCCATAGCCAGTTGCCGATGAACCAGTTCCTGCAAGATTTTGAGAGATATTCCCTTATGACCAAAGAAATTTCTAGACATAAAAAAACGATTATCACCATTTTCACATCAGGTGAAATGAACTGAGCCATATTGTTACTGGCCACACTCTTTGGACGAAATTTGCCTATATGTGGCACTGGTCCTTGGTAGGAGAAACTGCCGTTGGTATTCTGTAAGGAGAAATTTTCAGAAGTCAGCTAGTCACCAAACAACTGCAGCTTTTCATTTTTCCCAAAGAAAAATGACGCGAATACCAATTTTTTTTCAAATATAATTTCTGGTATATAGCATCAAATGGAACACGAAATATCAGAAAAAATAGAAAATTATTTATTTATAGAGAATTGGGGACTTTCCGAATACCTAGTTCAAGCTAATCTAATCTCTCTAGTGTTGTGCTGGCCCGGAGCCTCACTGACAAACGGTGCCTTCAAGATCGTGGAGCCCAATTTCGAAAGGGTTTGTTCTAAGCACGAAACTTTAGTTCACTCCCGCTGCGCGCTCCTTACTTAGAGGGTCAAATAGAGTCAGCTCCTGTGCTACAAAATTTTGCATCCTGGAATCTCTATTTTCTTGCTTTATGCCAGTTGGACCATTTTTCCAAACAAAACGTGAACAAAAGCATGCAAATCGTTTGCCAATAAAACATAAAAGCTTTTTATCAACTAGTTCGTCTTTTTTCGTTCCTGTTGGCATTCCCAGAAGCGCGCAGCGAAAATAAACTACACTCCTGTGATTCCCGCACGGACTTCTGCAACATGCAGCAAGTTTCGGAAAGGGGCTCCACGACCTGAAATACCCCCTCCCCTCTCTCTGTAAAAACTGATGTTGTATAACACACAAAAAGTTCGCTGCAACAAAAACTGGAAGTTTCGAAAGAAACCCAAAAAGTTTCGAAAGAAACCCAAGCCTTTTTTATATTTCTGAGAACACTGCAGTGTTTTTTATTAGCAACTCTTCAGCAACCTGGGTCTCAATTACTGCACCCCCATTGTATGCCCTCACGAGAGCCTCGCTCTGCACGAAGAACTGAGAAGTCGCCAACGACGCCACTATTAATCATCTGCATATGACGATATGTCATTGTATAGGCCACATCGCATTCAATAAGCCACTACGATTCTGAATGGAAGTAGAATGCGTGCCGCATCCCACAAAGGGATTGATCAACGGCGAAGAATTTATCCTTTTACTACATTCCATGAATAGGAGATCACCCTGTGAATGCGAAGGAACTGCCAAAACGACATTCCCACAAATTTCAAGAGAAAAAAGAAAAAAAAAGCGTGACTTCATAACAAGGAACACTCAACTTCACCCGTTGGTGACCCTATATTTATTTGATTAACATCCGGGCTCCTCTAACAACACCGTTGGTCGATTTATTTGGATACTGAGGTTGTCTTCAGCACCGTCGAGGTGGTCGAGGGTGCAGACCCCATCTGTTCGGGCTCTTTCAGGCTCTAATGGAGGTAAACAGACCGAAATGTCTGCCAAATAAAGTTTGAAAAAAGGCACGGTTCCGTCTAACTGCTTCTCAGGAATTTCGAAGGAAATTGTGGAGCTTCACGGAGCAGACTCTCACTTCTGTCCGACACTGCACGCACAACTGAAGGCATTTTAGCCAAATTGGGAACAAAACATACAACGACGGTGTGATTCTCTGGTACCACTTGTTCTAGTGGTGCGCTATTCACACGAGCGTTGGCAGTCGTCGAATCGGGTGTACTCAACGTTTGAGGTGGCTGTTGTTGAGGATAGAAATATGTTGTCCCTCCATGATTTTCCTGATAAAAAGGTTTTTTAAGACAGCATACTGAATGTTTGCTGAGCGTTTCGCTTACCTGATAAAGAGCCAGCGCATCAGCGTGGTTGGCTGATGATGACGCATTGCCTGAACAGGTAAAGTCATATTGATCAATAAGATTCCGGGTAAGCAAATTGACAAAACAGTTAGACCCCTTTGTGGCTGCTATTTTCGAATCGTCGATGTATCCCAATGTATGATATAAGTAACATGCATATCACGGCACGTCCTGTCGCAGGAGTGAGGGAAACTACCACCGCTCCTCATCAATTTACTCCTCTGGTACGACGTCGTTCACTCACTACCACACCTACCATTTTGCCGACTCTTGGCCGGGGAAGGGGAGTATAGTACATATGAAAATTAAAAGTTTACGAGAAGTCAACAACACTCAAAGTTTTCTTGCGCAGAGAACAAGAATTCGAAGCTCGGATACAACCCCCCCCTCTCCGAATAACGGGGAAATGCGAGCACCTCCAGCGGGATTCACTCACAAGGTACAGCATCGTGATGTGTGAAATGGTGGTGTCGGTGCTCCCCCACCCCTCTCGAGGGACGGTCTTGGTACGACTAACACCTAGGAGAAGGTCTCGGTTCGACCGCCCCTTTCCCCATCACCTACCTCCCGATTCCCTCCCCGCATTTTCCAGTTCTTCAGCCAAAGATTTTCCGTCGAGCGGAAGGGGGGGGGGGTATATAGCCAATGTAAAACGAGGAAATTTCTGAAATTTCTTAGATCTTCCCCAACATCCTACCACCTCTTCCTCCGGAATTCCCCGAAAATTTTGCTGTCCAGCGGGGAGAGGAGGGGGGACATAATACACATGAAACAATGAAACAGGAAAATCACGAAAAACCAACAGCTGGGAAAATTTTTCTTAATGCGGCAAATTTCCCCCTCCCAAGCGGAAAAAACCACCTCTCCTATGTGTTTCACACAACGATGCTGTACCCTGGTCACTTAACGTTCTGGATAGCGCGGTACAGCATCGTGATGTGTGAAATGGTGGTGTCAGTAACGACCCCCGTTCCCCACCACCTATCTACCACTTTCCTATGGTTTCCAGCTTCCCAGCCTCCTACCAGTTTGTTTTTTTCTGAAATTTCCCGAGAATTCGCTACATTCTTCCCAAAAACTTTCCGTCGAGCGGGGGGGGGGGGGGGTATAGTCGACGTGAAACGGGAAAAACCGCGAAAACTCTATAACCGGGAAAAATTTTTCTCCTCCAACGCGGCGAATTTCTCTCAAAGGCACATACGACCCCCTCTCCCAACAAAGACCAAATACGACCCCATCTCGTGTGTTTCTACGATGCTGCACCCTGTGCGTGAAGCAAGAAAAATCAACCATAGGAAAAATTTCTTAGGTCAGATATAGCCCTCCCTTCCTGTGGCGATCAAATGGAACCCCTTAGTGCATCGCAGCGTAGGACGCGCATTTACTCAAAAATATTCTACTCATGTGCAGTCCTAGCCAAGTCGTGAAAATAGGTCTGTCATAAAAAGAAGAAACCCACCAGGATGAAAAGTTGGTGCCGAACGATGCGGTGTAAAAGGTGCATGGGAGCCTGGCTGCTTGCTTGTCGGTGGCGGTTGTTGCATGTCACCAAGGCCAAGTTGGGCAAACTGGGGTATGAACGTAGGAGCCTGCAACCATTGACATGCTTGAAAGCAGACAATGTATAAAAATCAACTTTCAACGAACAAATAAAATATTTTTCCAAACAAATACATTTCTAGTCATAATAACTAATCCAATGAACCACGAAAACGATCAAAAGGTCATGCGAAAAATTGAGGTTTCATCGAAATAACATTCGTGAAAAGCCGGCAACATTGTTTATTCATATAAATTATATTTTATACAATTGAAATGCTGATATTAACAAAATTGGGACCAACTCACATTTGAAACTAGGTGTAAGCCACTGCTTCCTCCTGAAAAAAGTAACACTGAGTACTCTAATCAAAATTTACATAATTAAAAAATAGCCTCTGTAGAAATTGCAAAATTAAAAAATAGCCTCAGTAGAAATTGCAACCAAATGACATAATGGCAGAATAATTTGTGAAAATATGTACATAACGAAAGATTGTAATACCGTGAAGTCTGAAGCGATGTAAAAAATCGAAAGAACTGAAAAAATTTGGCCTGGTCCACGGAGTATGTGACAAAAGAATCGTAAGTCGTTGCTCCAGTGGGCGTCGCGTGCGACGTCGCGCCGCTAATGACGACGGTTTCAGGTGGTATTGGTCGAGAATAGACAATGTATGACCAAAAATAGACATAAGTGTCTACCATGTTCTTGTCTACATAAAATCTGACGCTCCAAGCGAAAGGCCAATTAAGGAAGACGTCGCGCCCATTGCCGCGCGCGACGGAGCGGCAATTTACGAGTCTCTTGCCCGTCTCCGTATAATACCTTTATTTGGGACATTAGTCCCACATCTGCGAAAGGTGAGTTCCCTAAGCGGGTAGGACAACGTTAATACTTAGAATCGGGAATGGACATTTCGGGAAAATGAGTGAGGAGCTATGTATGGGTATCAAAGCGACGTTAAGAGAGAATCGGTGCCTGCGCAAAAAGAATAGCTATCGATCGGCGCCGAAACGAAGATTCTCCCAAAACGCCAGCAACCGACGTTGATCGATACCTATCCTTTTCGCTTACTCTCCGAGGACACCGATTTTCACGAACTGCCGATTCTCGTGCTCCCAAAGTTCACAGAATTCTACATGGATCATCTAAATCAATCATTTCTAATCCTACACACGTCGACATGTGACTGTCACCGGAAGGTGGTGGAAAAAAGTCAGCACATGATTCTTATAGCTCGTCCATGATGGCAGTCTTGCTCTTTTTTTCAGTAACTGCCGAAAGGGACTACAAGAACCGGTTCAATAGGGTTGGATTTTTTTATATTAGCTCTTCAGCTTTAATTCACTTCGACGTTTATCAGCCACCAATGAAAACAATTACTGAGGGAAGATCACAAAAACCAATGTTTCTTAGCCTAAAATATAAGCAGTAATCAAGCAATAAATCCATGAGTTAGATACATAAAGTTAACTGCGATTCCCTGCGACCATCTGGATATGCTCGGAAATTTTGCTGTGCTAACGAACAAGACAATTCGATGTGCAAGATTTGTAGTTAGTGAAGCAACGTTATATGCGGTATTCAGCTTCTCATTTCAATTAATAGCGTCTTACTACTGGGAAAGGGGATCTCCTTATTGTCGAGAGAAGCACCTGTCTATAGGGCGCACCTTGGCCTCGAAATGCCTCAATTTGGTTGTTTTGTGTGTTTGTCTGTTTTCAAATCACATGCAACCATGCATGTCCATAAATAAATAAATATTCGCCTGTAAAAACCTTTTGCAAATTTCTTGCTCTTTTTTCTCTCTGAGTGGTCTCTGTTGAAGGGAAAGCTTGAAAACCTTCTAAAAGATAAGATTACGCGAAAAAAGAACAATTACTGCCAGGTCTGGATAACCTTCGCGCGCGATGCTGCGTGCGTCTCTGCGACGTTTCAAACAAATGTGCCTTATTCTAATGAAAGGAGGGTGGCCCGCTTACCATGTGCGGTCTGGAGTAATATCCCTGACAATTTTCCATCTATGTCAACGAAGTTCTCTAGGCGCAGTTCGTGTGTGGGGGAGGGGGGTGGAGCATTTTCAATCTTCGCTGCTTCTCGTTGTCGTGTTCATTGCTTTATAGGAAATGACAGGTTAGAGCGCGTTCAGACTTCGCGATCGCGCGATCGCGCTACTGTGGGTGAAATTACACCGGGAGGGGGTCATGTTCGTTCATGTTTATTGTTCCTGTTCTTTTTTCCTTTTCCTTCTTTCTTCCTTTGTGTACATAACGCCCTCCTAATTTTAAGGAACGTTTCGAAATATCTTTGAGTTAT